GACCAAGGCCGAGCGGCTGGCGGCGCAGAACGAGTGCCAGGTCCTCAAGCTGCTCAGCCACCCCAACGTCATCGAGTACTACGAGAACTTCCTGGAGGACAAGGCGCTCATGATCGCCATGGAGTACGCCCCAGGTGGGCCCTGATCTCTCCCGGCGCCTGCAGCTGGTTCCTCGGCAGGTTCAGGGGATGCCAAGCCCTCAGCTCTCCTTGGATCGGGCTGCTGTTGGCCCCATGTTGTGCTCCTTGTAAAGATCCCGTGCTTTGGACCCCCAAAGAGCCCAAACACATCTCTCTTAAAGAGACATTTTTGTAGAAAAGGATCTGGGGTTCCCTGGTGGACACCAAGTTGACCATGAGCCGAGTGACCGAGCACTGGCACAGATTGCCCAGAGAGGTTGTGGAGTCACCATCCTTGGAGATATTCAAAAGACAGGTCATGGTCCCGGGCAACCAGCTGTCGGTGGCCCTGCTTGAGCAGGGGATTGGACCAGGTGACCTCCGGAGGTCCCTTCCGACCTCAGCCGTTCTGTGATTCTGTGATTATATGCCTTATGCCTGCTAATCATATCCAAAACAAAGAGGTTTCTAACACCTCTGTCGCTGATAAGTGTGCTACCATCTGCCCTTGGCTTAGGTTTCACGCGCATTTCCCTGTGTCAGCTCTCGGCCACGCTGTTGGTCCCACAGCTCTGCGTGGGAAGGTGTGATTTCTAACGAGATTTGCTGTGGAGTTCAAGATGAAATCAACATTTGCATGAGGCTTTGTTAAAAGTTGTACGTGAGCGCTGATTCTGGACCTCCCCTTCTCGATAGGGGCCTCTCTGTGCCACGTGGCCTGTCAGACTGCAAGAATTCTCTTTTGCAGAACAGGCTTATCTTGTTCTGCCATCGAGGTTTATGTCCTCCTCCAAGAGCTGTAATTTTAGCGTTTCTTTTCCTGCTGCCTTTGACAATATGTCAACAGTCACTTCTCTCTTGCCGTTTCTTCGTCCCACCAACTGTGCTGCCATTGTTCTCCGCACGGTCTCGGGAGCACTGGAGGACGTGCTGCGTGGTCCCACCAGGATGTGCTTTTCCCCATGCACTTGGCTTGTTAAGACGCCGTGGCTAAATCCCCCTGGCTTTTAGGCCGGGTTCGTGCTGCCCTGTGCGGCCACCCTTGCCGATAGCCCTTTGTCGTTCTTTGCAGGGGGCACGCTAGCGGAGTTTATTCATAAGCGCTGCAACTCCTTGCTGGATGAGGATACCATCCTGCACTTCTTCGTGCAGATCCTCCTGGCTCTCCACCACGTGCACACCAAGCAGATCCTGCACCGTGACCTGAAGACTCAGAACATCCTCTTGGACAAGCATCGCATGATTGTCAAGATCGGAGACTTTGGTATCTCCAAAATCTTGAGCAGCAAGAGTAAAGCCTACACGGTGGGTGGCCTGGCCTTGCAGGGGAACTACTTACCACCATGGCAGCACGGGCTGGAAACTCTGGGCTTGGCTCACGACAGTCTCTTGGAAGTTGCTGTAGGCAGCGAGGTTGCACGGTTGCAGTAGATAGCATACTTGCAGTAGGCCGCGTCCGTGTGCCGCGATGCTGCTTTGCTCCTTGGAGTTTATACAGGCTGATGTCTTCACGCCCAAGTTTGCTGCAGCTCTGTGGGCTGCAGAAAGGTGAGAAGCACCTGCCTGCCCAAGCCTGGCGGAGGAATGGGGGGTCTGGGCCCACTGGTGAGGGTAGACAGGGTTCCTCCCACTGTCACAGTGGGAGGGGTGGTGTCTGCAGGCTCGTCTGACACGTTCTTGGCAGCTGAATTCCTGCCTGTGCCCCGCCGTCCTGCCTCGTCTTAATCTCCTCTCTCTGCTTGAGACTCGAGTATCATTCCCCACCTGGTCTAATCTGACTAGACGTTTATATCACGCTCATTGCTCCGGGCTCCGATTCTCTCAAGTGGATAGGAGCAAAATTAGAGGTAATCTCTGTGTGTGCAAGGGAGGTCACCGGAAAGGCGAATCCTCGTGCTTTTTACTGAGATTGTCAGGCAGATGTTGACACCAGGGAACAAAAGCTCGGCTCCACTAAGCTTTGGTTGGTGATGCTCTAGCCAGCCTGCGCACTGGGCTCTAA